AGTGCCACCAGGTGGGGGAAAGGGGGTGCTCCTCGAGTCAACCGCGACTTTTAGTGCCGCCCCGGGCGTCCACACCGTTTCCAGCACCAGCCCACCCAGCAAGGCCCAGCACTAGGACCCGGGGACGACGGTGCTTGAGAATCAAAAGGGTGGTCATGTTTTTTCGGGCACCGGGATCGCCCACGTTTCTAGTCTCCGTAGTCAGCAGTCAACGGCAGCGTCAATTTACTGACCAAGCCGGGTGGAATGTGCAGCCAAAGCAGTGCTGGGAATGGATTAAACATAATTCGGCTGCTTTTGACCGGGAAAGAAGGCTCTTCGGTCCTTCAACGTTTCAGGCCGGCTATGCTAGCAGCATGAAGCGAGTGGCAGTAGCGTTTTATGCATGGCCGCTTCCCCACCAAATTTCGACCAGTGCTGCGTCGAGTGGAAAAAAAAGCAAGTTGCTGCTGGAAGTGAGTGAGGCCATCTGTGTGCTGTGCGATTGTACGAAGTGGAACCGCAATACAAAAGGCTTTTCTGCCAACCGCTTCAAGCCGAGCATTGCAATGATGCGTGTCTTGTCACGACCTTGCATAGAACAAACGCTGTGCCTACAAAGACGAAAATGGACTCAAAAACATGTCGCGCGTGCTGAAAATGTTGCATGCAACATGCGCGCAACGGCCGTTTTGCTTAAATTTACGGTTAATGCCGATCCATTCAAACACGGAAGGAAGATAAGGAGGCCATACTTTTCGCAGCATCAAGCCACAGCGGCAGTGTAGCTTCGGATCGTCAGTTGGTGATCGAAGGCATGAATGTTCGGTACGAGTGCACCCAAGCTTGTGAAGCGGAGCCAACAGCGCACATGCAGCGGACCCCACTGGCAAACCAAACTAGTCCCGATTTTTGTTGCCAGCCGCCTAAAGTGTTGTGCACCAAGAAACAAAAGAATTGTCAAAAGGTCACAGATTTGTGTGGTGCCCAAAGTATTCGGGAAGTTCCCAGACATTGAGCACAGCCATCATGTGTTTGGTGGCAGAACCCGTGCGGACCGGGTGATGAACAAGTCTATCTGTGTATTGATTTTGTGTTGACATCCTTTACACCAGTTTTCATGTCGTTTTGCATGCTTGTGTTGTTTCGTTGTTGCTCTTGAACTCGCATTGTCCGAGTCTTTATTGGCTATTGAACGAACTCCGCCGCCAGCCCAATCTTAGGAATTCGGGTGGGATGTGTGCATGGCATTTCCCACGACCATTCCGAGGCAAGGCATTAACGATAGAATGGCAGGTGCACGAGCCAGGAGCAGATTGGATGCTCGGGTTTGCTTGCCTGCTTGCCAGAACGCATCATCGGTGATACCAGTACATATACTTGCCGGGAGCTTGTGCCATTTGTTTCATGTCTTCCTATCGGGCTTATTCAAGCATGTTCTCTGCTTCTGACGTGAGGAAGCGTGAAAAGACGTGGATGCGACTTGTCAGGGTTGGAAGCTTGGTGTGGTTGTGTTGACATCGACTTTTCTCGGTAAGCAGACGCAAGGAGGCAGTTATGTCATGTCGACTCGGTCACAATTGTACATCATGCAGTTGCGTGTATTGGCCAAGAATGTTTCCTGGCCCATTTGCTCCCCACCCTGCCCTGCCCTAGGTCCGTCGGTCCGGGAAACTCCACCCGGCAGGACTTCTGTGGCTTTTGCGAGTCTCTTTAGCAGAGGCGGTCCGCCAGCATTGATTGCACTATTGACATAGGGACGACGCTTAAGTTCTAGTCTGTGCAGGCCGGCTTCTCTAGAACGGAGGCGCCTGATCTAGGCATCAAGTCACAAGGAACGGTGTTCCCCCAGCCGAAAAGCAGGCTTTGCCACATTGCTTGTTGCAGCGCAGCCAGCAGCAGTGGCCCTGTGGACGTGATCTGCCCGTGTGTATGTACTTCTCGATACGTCGGACTCAGGACAGTGCGTCGTCTGGATTCTCACGTCGAAGTGGCAAGTCCAGGCTGAAATTCGACTCGGGCTTCGTATGGCACACGGAAGTGGCTGCACCAGGTGGAGAGCATGCCAACGAACTCACCGTGAAGGATCGATTGCATGCACGTTCAAACACTCGAGCAGCACTCTGTCAGGTCACAGTTGTTTAGAGAGCACAGTATGGAAAAAACGCTCAGTTTCGTGCGCAGGCTAAAGCCTCCTTGGTCCAAGTCCAGGCAGCGTCGGACACTGCTTCGAGGCAAGCTGCTGAAGCTCCAGCCTTTGCTGGCTTCCACATGTAATTTTTCGATTGCGGGCAAGGCGGGAGTCCAGACGCAAGTTGGACCCGGACTTCTTTGCCAGCTTCACCGACGTGCGCTTGACAGTTTTTCTACGTAGACCTTTTGCGAGCCCTGCAACACCCGCAAAGAGCTTGTGAATCCATTTCAACAGCCTGTCAAGAGCTGTCCAAAAGCTGCACCCAACTAGCACGGAAGGTAGGTTCGATTGCCAGCCAGGAAATGAGACGGAGCATAACAGAAGGTGCTTCCTGGCAATTGCGCTCGTTCAGGCCGAGTCGACCTTCGATGAAGACGGGCAGCCACGTTTTGAGGAGGTCCGAATCTATCTGCCGCTGGGTTGTTGATCAACTTGCCTGATCCAGGCTGCAAACCCACGTGCAGTTTCAGACGAAAGCGAAAGCATTCCAACAATCGAGCCGCCGCAATGGTGTGCCCACGACTCTTTCCCGGTCTTTGTAATTCGAAGCTCTGGAAGCCAGGTTCCAGGAAAGTCCATCGGCTGGACCGAAGCAGGTCGGAGAAGCCTCGGAGAGGGCTGCCCTGCCATCCGTCTTGCGCCCAGGCTTGGCAGACCTACGACCCAGAAACAGAGGCCAGTATTCTCAGTACTGTGCCCAAACCCTTTACCCGTCTCAACCCAAACCCTAAACCCTAAACATCCCTAAACCCTAAACCCTAAACCCTAAACCCTAAACCCTAAACCCCAGCCTCCCCTTTTCGACCAATGCTCTCTCTGCTCCTTGCGAAGCCAGGACGCGAGCTGGCGAGCCAAGGCTCCCGACTGGCAGCTCAGGGGCTTTGGGAGGCCGGAAGTGTCCCCGAAGCTTCTTGCAGAGTGGAGACCCACAGAAAGGCTTAAGCCTTATAAGGCTTAAGTTGTAGGCCGGTGGAGGCATCTTCTTTCTCTCCGAAGCTAGTGGCCCCTGAGGTCAAGGGCTGGAAGGGATGCGAAATGCAGACACTTACACTCCCGCCAGAACAGCTTCATGCTTTGCAAGGGGTGGCATAGGGACCTGGTAACCTGGTAGTTGGATCGCTAGATGGATGGCATCCTCAGCGCTCAGCGCTTCCTCAGCGAGGGCAATGTGCAGGCTGCCGTGGACTGCTTGGAGAAGATCTCCCAAAGCAGCGGACTGGATCTGGACGGGCATCTCTTGATGGCAGAGGCCTTGTGGACCCAAGCTGGGCCTGAAGGCACTGAAGCTGCCCTGCCACACTACGAGGAAGCCTCGGCTTTAGCAGGCGCAGGCGATGATGTGTCCAAGAAGGCGACAGTGAGTCTCGGTCATGGCTATGCCCTCCTGCAGCTGAAGCACTTCTCCAGGGCGCGACAGGAACTGCTGAGAGCGCGAAGTCTGGCTGAGGAGGACGGGAATCCGGCAGCTGCCCAGTTTGTTGACAGCTTGCTTCGAAACACGGAGCCGGAGGCAGCGCAAACAGGTGACGCCGGTGACGCAGCAAAGTCAACATGGCTTGCCTTCGCAGACGCGTACACGGACGGCACGAAGCCGGTGCTGTTCATGAGGGGTAGCGCGCGCGAGCCGCTGGACGCAGCAGGTGCTCATGGAGTTGAAAAGCTGAGAGCTGCCGGGGTGAAAGCCATGAAGGTAGTGGACCTGAGTGAAACTGGCCCCGAGCTGCCAGGGGGATTGCAGACGTTGGCGGATGTGGGCATTGAGCTCCCGCAGCTCTACTTAAAGGGAGCCAGCCTTGAGGGCTGGATGGACCTCGAGCCGAGCGAGCTCCGTCGAATGCTGCAGGACTCCGGCGTGAGCATGAAAGATCCGCCCGAAAGCGAGCCTTGTCACGGGGCCTTCTCCGACGGCCTCGCAGATTGGGAGGTTGCTCTCGTTGAGATGGTTTCCATTTCGGGAGCAGGAGACTGGGAGGCGAAGGCTCGATCCCTGGCAGAGAAGGGCTTTCAGAATGCCCCAGCGACGGGAGAAGCTCTGGAGAAAGCCTGGAAGGAGCTTTCCCCTTCCATCAAGGTGAAACTCGAGAGTCAACCAGAGATGCCGCCCTGTGGACACTCCTGCAGCACTTGCCCAACCAAGCACGACTGCCAGTTACACGATGCTGTGGGTCATGTCAGAGACATCGAAGACCTGATTTAGACTAAGCGTCGTTTTCCAGAGTCGCAAGTCTTCTTGGGGCTTGAGCTCGTTGCTGCGCCTTGAAAAAGTGGGGGGGGCGTCCGCGCGGTGTGAGGAAGTCGATAGAACCGTGTGACATCAGTGAGCTTTGGCTGTTCGAGGCTTCAGCAGGATTGGGCTCCGGTCGAGTCCCGAGAGTCACGTGCTCGGAAAGGGCCCCTAAGAAGCAATCGGCCATGGGCCATGTCCCAGTGCCTCAGGAAAGGCAATGCAGTCTGCATCTCAGCCCTGAGCAGACTTTTGATCCTCTGCTTGGGATCCGGTGGGCTGAGAGGACCGCGAAGACGGGAAGGAGCGGATGATCTGCCGGGTTAGTCTCGGATGGTTCCACGCGGCCTGAGATTGGCAGGAGGCCGCGTGGTTCGATACATCGGTGAACCAGTACGACTGGTTCGGACGACCCAGGGCGCCAACCCCCGAGTCACCCAAGTTCTATGTGGAGTGGAGCAGGGTGAGCAGGACGCAGGAATGGCAAAGCCAAAGCCCCCGGAATGATTCCTTCGCGGGCTCCTGTAGGCCCTAGCAATCTTCAGCCGGTTTCGTGCAGGACTGCAGACTTGAGCTGCGGGCCGCCTGGCTGTGTGGCGGAAACATCTCTAAAGGCCTGGCCGCCTGGCCTGCAGATTGTAGCTGCAAGTGTGGTGACCTGCAAACGGGCCGCCCCCGGGGCTTGTGGTGTTGAGGTGTTCGAGAATGCCTCGGAGATGGAGTACAAGATGCGCTTGCCTGAATGTCGGGACTGCACTGGCAGCCAACAGCAGCGCTTCTACGGTGCCAGAGGTGCCAGCTGTCCGTCATGGTCCACGCAACGGACTTCGATGACCAGTCCGAGCCCGAAGGGTCAACAAGTTTCGTCTGGAGTCTAACAGTAATGCCAAGGTATGGGCGGGAGAAGATCGAGTGGATCCTGATCAACAACAAGGAGGCGCGGAGCCCGTGCTACCCGCTGCACACTATGTCTGACATCAGCCGGGCGTTGAGGCCATTCGCGACTTCGCCCCACAAGCACCGAAGGGTCTTTCCGGCGACATTGCCACGCAAAAGGACGACATTTCATGCCAATGTGATCCCGAGTCTTCTCAGATGTACAGGCTGTGAGACCAACGACAATATGGCGGATCTGCATGGCTCTGATATCACCGAGCAGAAGTTGTCCAATCTTTCCAAATCTTCCTTGCTGGCTTTGGCTTCCAAGCCCGCGGGCAGCCCAGTTGCTCTTGCCTCTGCCAGTCAGCCTGAGTGAACGCTTTTCTTGCAACCGGATGCTTTCAGGATGCGGCAAAGAAACAAGTACCCAACGAAGCCACGTCAAAGCAGACTGACGCTGGCCTGGAGCTCAAAGTGTGCTAGCTGCTAGCAGCAACGACGTAGACTAACCCGCTTGTGGACTCTGGGAAGGCAAGTCCAATGCTAGCCATGAGTTGAAGTCGCAGTCACAGCAGACTGACGCTGGCCTGGAGCTTAAGGTGCTAGCAGAAACGACGTGACGTAGACTAACCCCCTGTGGACCTCTCGCGAGGCAAGTCCAATGCAAGCCATGAACTGCCAAAGTCGCAGTCACAGCAGACTGACGCCAGCCTGGAGCTCAAGGTGTGCTGGCAGCAAGGATGTAGACTACTCCGCCTGTGGACTCTCACAAGGCAAGTCCAATTCAAGCCATGAGTTGCCGAAGTCGCAGTCACAGCAGACTGGCGCTGGCCTGGAGCTGATGGTGTGCCTCAAGCAACGACGTAGACTAATCTGCTTGTGACCGCTTGTGGACTGTGGCAAGGCAAGTCCAATTCAAGCCGTGAGTTGCTTCTCTATCCGTGCCTTAGATGAACGGCCAGGGCGGCCAGTCGAGCCCCCAACTTGCTGCAAAGCTCTCAGGATCATTCGCGACTTGCCGCTGGAGGCATCCGTGCATGACGACGTGCTGAGTTTGTGGGTCGTTCTTTGTTGCGACGGTTGTAGCAAAGGGCCTGATCGACGAGACGGGCGAGCTGAAAATCTCAGGCGGAAGCCTCTGGCTGCCCGCAATCGAACACTTATTTAATTCCAGCTCAGGCAAGATATCGCCAGCAGTGGACGAGTGCCCTGTGAATGGAAACCATTTGAGGCACTTCGGACATTCCTTGACAAGCCCCGCGTTGAGCTTCTTTTTTACCACAGTGCTGCCAGTGGGATGGTGGCCGTTGCTTGCTTCGCGCGGCCAATCGTGACGTTGCCCCCGACAACGACGACGACCACAGTACACTCTCCCAGCACAGCATTCTGCAGCCGCTCGGGGGTCGCTGTGTTTCTCTGAGAGCTTTCCTTTGCCAAGGTAGCTGTGACGACAACAGTTACGCAAATCTTCAAGACGAGTGACTCCCAGCACTTCAGCTGCGAGGTGCCCGACCTTCCATCAGTTTGGACACTTTGATGTTGCTTCGCCCAGCCTCAGGAGCCTGGGTGCACCGCGACCACAGTCCTTGTGGTCGATGACTTCAACATGACGTCTCGAAAGTGCAAGCTGACTGTCAGGCCAATGTGCTCACAAAGCTAGCGTGGTGCTTAAGAGCAAGTCCGAATCAGGATTAACGAGACCGACTTTGACGAACAAGACGGGACCACGGAGCGTGTGGAGTGGATCAAGGCGCTTTCAGATGCCAGCCAGTTGTGAGTTCTGAACATGTACTGGACGACTGAGCATGCGAGGTCGGTGGGTCGACTATCACAGAAAACCTGAAGCCGGGCAAGAACCCATGCCAAGAGGCGCGAATCCGACTGACCCAACTGTGTCGCGAAATACCAAACCTGCCTTTCCTCAGATCTTTTTGTACCCAGGCAGCTTCCGGTAAATCGCGAGAGTATGTGAACTTCACCATCCTTGACGGGAAGGACTCCAAATCGGCGGCAGTTGCAGTTTGGGCACCTGAACAAGCCCCCTTCGGAAAACCTGTCGAGCTCCTGGCTGTACAGTCGTTGCTCCCAGGAGGTCGCAGACAAGATTGCCGACGGCATGCTCTTCGTGTCCTTGAAGATCTCGGACATGGTGGCTCCCACTCCGTAGGAGGCAGGAGCCCCAATGCAACAGAAATGCTCAGGTTGACGAGTGCTCCGTGGACGGCCGCCTCCTTGATGGTCAAGCCGACCTATCCTGTAGCTGACGGCAGCTGACGATGGGGGGCCCGTGGAAAAATTGACAAGGCTCTGTAACATCTGGCGGCCAAAAGCGTGGTTCATGTCATCACAGCGGTGTTGACTGTTTTTCAATTTCGGATCAAAGAGTTTGGGATGGGACGTGATGGGGTCAGATTGACAGTTGAGACTCCATCAAGGGTTTGGCGCCAAGTGCAAAGCACTCTTGTCCTGCCCTGTCTGCCTGGCATAGCTTCACCCCGCAAGAGCACCTGCTTTCCACTGGTAGCATGAGACCTGGATCTGCAAGACTCTCAGCTCATTCGTGTTCGCAGCTCTGAGCATTTGTCAGCTCATGGAGTCCTGCACCTTGCTTCATGACCCGGAGAGCGAGAGCGACAGCGAAGAAGTACGAGAGCCACTGGAGCAGCAGCCAGTGAGCTCACCCTCACTGCCGGAGCGTGCCCAGCACGTGGTTTCTGCCAAGAAGGTGGGCAGACCATCTGATGAGTACCAGCGGGCCATTAATTTCTCCGCATTTGACTTTGCGAAAGTGCAAGAAGTGGTAAGTGAGGTTCCCCAGCTCCACCGAAGCAAGATCATTTTACTTAACGTTGCAAACTTGTACGTGGAGGCAGTGGATCTCGTTACAGGAAAATTCGACGCGTCAGTCAGCCTTCGCTTCGTCCGAAGGTTTGATGATGAAACCGGCCCACCTCCACCTGAAGCCAACGAGGACATTGCTCCAGATAAGATTCCTGACTTGCTTGCACAGATCTACGGTGTCACTCTGAATTGGGATTTGCACCAAGCATGCACTGTAGAGTACTCGTCCGCACGGCTTTTTGGAGGCACTGACGGACAATGTGATGTCACTCTCCGCGGGACATTCCAGGACACTAATGATTTGGAGTTCTTCCCCTTCGACATTCAGGATTTCAATGTCATCTTTGAGGTGCGCTCTGTGGCGAAGGTGCCGGACTTTCACTTGATTTTGGTTGGGGACGTTAATTCACAGCAGACCATGCCAGACTATACCTTCTACCGGCCACTTGCGATGATGTATGCCAGGAAGTGGCCATATCGCAAAATCTCTATCACAACATGTGCATTGCGGAACTATGGCCATTATCTAATGAACTACTATTTGCAACTTTGCGTCCTGACAACTGCGTTTCCGCTGGTGAGCGCGATAGACCCGCATGAGGGGACAGCAGACCGGCTCAGCTTCCTCGTGACACTCATCCTTGCTACTGCAGCGCTTCAGATCACAATGAACGCGAACCTGCCATGCATTCCATATGCAACGATGCTGACAAGATACACGACCGCGTCTTTCACCGTCATGTCCATGTCCATGTTCCTCTGCGTCTTGACTTCTCGCATGCCGTGGTGGTGGGATGCAGCCACCTTCGGGGGCTTGTTTGTCTTCTGGATAGGCTACAATGTGAGCCACTTCCTCACTGCACGACGCAGCATTTGGCAGGCCAGGCGATTGTTAGGAAGCCCGGCCGAGAAGATAACGGTGGGGAGCAAAGAACTAGCGACTGCTGCAGCTATGATGGATGCCTTGGACCCCCGATTCGGAGCCCTGCTGCATCTGCGGAAAAAGCGAAGCAGGGGGTGACTGCTTCCTGACCGTGCGGGAGCTTGAGACATCGTTCCCTTCAAATGTGTTTATAGGTCGGGAGTTGTCACTCAGGCCTTGCTTGTTTCGCTTTCCGGAAGGTGAATTTCCGGAACAAATGCCGCAGTGCGAGTCCGTCGGGTCTGCTACTGGCACGGCATCTCGAGTCCAGCCGGGAACATGAAACGCATGCTTCGCTTCCTGGCTCCGGCTCAAGCGAAAATGATCTCGCTTGCGTGACATCACAGAGCTGCCTTCGGCAACGGCTGCTTGGATTGGGGAAAGCTTTTTGAGGCCTGATCATCACGCCCAGCTTGCTTCCTGTTTCCAGGTTGTCCTATGTCCCTTTTCTGCTGTGATGGCGGCGGTCCCTGTGCTCAAAGCTCTCGGATGAGGCATTGCAAGATGTTTCATGAACGGCACAGCACAAATTGCATAGCAGGGTTGAAGCCAATGGCCCGGCACCAATAGCCGGCTTCCAAGGGTGGCAGTGCCTTCTTGTGGCTGTTGGTGGCTTTCGCTTATTTCGCGTGTTGCACCAAGGTACCGGACACCTCCCAAAGCAGGGTCCATACGTCGGAAGCCCGAGCAAATCGGCACGTTCTGGTCCGAGCTCCGTCAAACCCCCAGGCCTTTGCCCATGCTGCAAGACTGGGACAAGCTCGGAGCCAGGGAGAAGGAGGCGTGGACAGGATCTTGCTTTGGTCCAATATCCAGTCCCGGCATGATCCATGTCAGGTTGTGCAGGAAAAGCTGGAAAGCATCGTAAATGCCTTTGCGCGTGAGCTCACTAGGGGCAAGGCGCCACGGATTCACAAATCATTTGAGGCGACTGTCGGCAGGCGTACTTGCTTCTTGTTGAAAGGTGTTCATGAAGCTGGGGCGAAATGGCCGCCTCTTCTACCGCCTTTGCTTGGAGCCGAGCTCTTCTTGACTTAACTACCTTTCATTGGCTGCTGTGTCGTTTGCAGGCACTTTGGACAAGCAGCTGACAGCATTCTCCATGCACATCAAGGGAGCCATCGTGGAGTGCTCTCCTCGCTTTCTCTCCTTGACTTTTCCCATGTTGCTGTCGGCATATCGAAATGGACGTTTTTTCCAGCGTGGAGCAACAGGTATCCCTTCAGCCACATGCAGCACATTAGACCAGGCCTCAGTCTTTGGCTCCTCCCGCAACCTCCAAGCGAGCTCGACACCGGGCCTTATACCTCGTCCGGCGGCTTCCTCCCATTTGCCCGTGCTGAGGCTTTGGTTATGACCTCACAGACTTCACGCATGTTCCTGTCGCAGTCCAAGGTCCAAGGTGGCTAGTGGCTTCTGTAGAATCCCAAGACTGAGCCTCTGCATTCGCGCCGAGGTCTCATTGCCATCTGATGCGCTGGCAGCGGTTATTGTTATGGACAACCGGCGAACTGACTGCAAGTGAGAGCTTCCTAGCCGGTGATCTGCTTTCAGCGAAATGAAGCGATCAGGAGAATGAATCTGGTGTTTTCGTCCCCCATGGAGCGAGACGAGTTTGTCACTTGCATGCTCGTGCAGCCGGCTACGTTAGACATAAGCTGAAAGCAGCACAGCCACCGTACCCTGCCAGGTTCTCAAGGAGCGGCACCGACGAAATAATTCGTGTCCAGCCCTTGGTCTGTCGGGCCATACCGGGACTCTGTTGCAGTTTCGGTTGATTTGTTCTAAGGATGAGCCAACCAGCTCCAGGCAAGGCTCTTGGCTCTCTTTGTGTGAGAGCGCTGCTCAGACAAGCCCCGGTGCTTCGAGCTGTCGTTCCCTACCGGTTGAATGTCGTATTCACACGGATACCTCTGCTGCTGCTGTGGTCGCTGGAAGCAACGTGGTAGTCTCACGACCAACCTACGTTTGAGACATCGTCTGCAGTACTACTAGTGCTGCGTTTACAGCCAAGTTTCACCTACCCGTCGTAGTGCGCGTGTTTATGCTCGTTCAGGTATGCTGTGTGATGATTCCCGGTTCTTCATGTAGGTATTCTCGCGTCACGCTGAAACCATGTCGGCGCACTTCCAAAAAGGAAGCCAGCGGTTCTGGCCCTTGGCCTTCGCTCTGTGAAGCTCATGAGCTCATCACGTCCTTGCTGTCTGGGCTCACAAGCTAGAGTGCGTTGGGCTCTCATAGACGACCGAACCACCCTAGTAGAAGCAGGGCCCTTTCTCGTTCAAACAGACTTTCGGACCAACTTCAGGAATTGAGGCATGCTGTGGCAATGCTCCCAGCCCGCAACCATGGGCGCCTCTGCAGACTCGCCAGGCCCGAAGGGGTGAAGCCCAGCGACGTGGGAGCAGAAGCGGCGGCAGCATGTTGATGTTTGATTCAGGTTCTCCACAGAGGCCACCACACAGGCGGCGCCAGCACAGGTGCGGCATGGGCCCAACACAGCCGACAGAAAGCTTCCGACATGTTTGTGGAGGCCTTGTTGGTGGTGCCAGGACCCTGCTTGGACGAGTCCAGGCTTGCGAGGGCGCTCTGTCTCCTGTCTGCCATCAGGCATCAGGCGAGGACGGCGCAGAGCAAAGACAATCAAGGCGCTTCAATCTTGAGCCTTGCAAGCAGAGAGCACCTCGTGAGACCGAGCAGGCTGTTGAGCGGACGGCGACCCGCCTGCACTACCGCGAGCTTGTGAAGCAGGTGCCATGACCACTTCCGCTCAGCCTGCACATGCTTCTCTCCCGTGTGCAGGAAATTTTTGATCGACATGCAGTCACAAGTTCGAGGGAGACTTCTCTGCGCTTCCACCTCTTCCGCGCCGGCCTCGACCCGTTCCCCCCGCGCGACTCGACGGGCCAAATCTGCGAACCAAGGTACCGAGCGGCAGCTCAGCAAGGCCAGAGCGTCCAGGGTTTGCGCTGCAAGCGCTTTCGCTTTGGTCATTACCTCCAAGACCCCCCGCGCTTAATAAATGTAGGA